CAGCCCCTTCCTCGGGGTCTCCCCACGCTGCCCCTCCTCTCCCACTGCCCCCCCCCTTGTTGCAGGTTTGTCGGCCGCCCGGGTGACTACGTGTACATTTTCCGTTCTTTCCGGATGGAGGAGGTAACTGACCCCGTGTTCTCTTCTGCTTCCCCGGTTGTGTCCCCACGGCAGACTCGGCAGAAGCAGATGTTGTCAAGTAGCGTTTCCCTCCTTCTTGGGGGAGTCCTTTTCTGCTGTCCGGCTGCTGGGGTGGGGTTTTGATCTCACTTGGTGTGTCCATGTAGGATTACCCCCAAAGGAGAAACCAAAGAACGATGCCAGTTGTATTTTTCCCCCCTTTTCTAGCATCTAGAATGTTTTTGTCTCTGGTTAGAATGGATTCGTGGGGGAGAAACAGAACTGAGCTTCATTGTTTGACTTTAACGTAGAAAGGCCCACCTCTCTCCCCTAAATCTGTGCTGGTGGCCTTTGGCTTTTGCTTGGCCGATCCAGCCACCATGGGTCTGGTTAGTGCACCTGCCACTCAGTTGGCTCCTGCAGCCCCGTCAGACCAAGCCGGGGCCCCAGGGCCGCCCGTGGCTCAGGCCTCGGGAACAGTCAGCCAGTTTAATGCCCAGGATAATTCAGCTTATTGGAAAACAAGGGATAGGTCTTCTGATAAAGACCCTGTGAAACACGGTAGAGAGCATGGGGGTGGGCTTCAGGTACAGGGTGATCTGGCTGCCCAGGGCACAGCCTAGAGGTTCAGCCCCCTGAGTGCCGGCCCCTGAACATCCCAAGACGTGGGCCTCCCCCGCAGTAACATGTTTGCAAAAGGACCGTGAAGCGATCTTCCCTTCTATGACTCGTTCTTTACGTAAATGATACCCCGCCAAATTCTTTAATAGTCGCAGGAATTGGAGAAATGCCTTTGTAAAATGAATAGAGCAAAGGACATCATTTTTTAAATGAAATTGTGGCTCTCCAACATAAATTCTGTGGTAACAGTGTAAACAATGTTGTCCTGGGCCTATAGAGGGGTCAGCTCTGCCCCAGAGGGCCGCCCAGTGTCCCGTGACTCTCTTCACTTGGACAAGTGAAGCTTCTGGTCCATCACCTGCCTGCCCATCACCCAGCCTAAGGCGGTTGGTGCAGGCCCAGCAAGGACAGGGGACAGGGACGTTAGACCTCAGAGGGGTGGCCAGCTGCCTCACCACGTGGCTTCCCAACTACACAGGCCCCGGCCTGCCGTGGCCACACGGGGACTGTAGATGGACAGTGGTTCATGGGACCAGGCCGCTGTAGCCAAAGACCACAGATCAGGTGGCCCCGAAACAACAGGAATGTATATTCTCTTACGGTTCTAGAGGCCAGAAGCCCAAAATCAAGGAGCCAACAGGGCTGTGCTCCCTTTGAAGGCTCAGGAGCGGGTTCTCCAGGCCTCTGTCCCAACATCCTCGGCTGGCCCTCCAATCTCTGTCTGTGTCTTCAGACAGTCTTCTGTGTATCTGTGTGTTTTCTCTTCTCACGAGGACACCAGTGACGGGATCAGGGCCCACCCTACTACAGTGTGACCTCGTCTTAACTCGGTCACGTCTACAAAGACCCTTTTTCCAACTAAGGTCATACTCTGTGGTTCTGGGGGTTAGGATGCGGACATATCTCTGTGAAAGACACATTCAACCCACATGAGGGCTGACCTCCCCTCGCTGGGGGCTGCGGCCGTCTCTCCAGGATGGGC